TGTGTGTGTGTGTGTGTCTGTGTGTGTCTGTGTGTCTGTGTGTCTGTGTGTTAGCAAGTACGTGAACATATATGTTCTTTCATTATTTGCCTTTATAGTTTGAAATTGTTTATATTCTCTTTTTACATGGGTGTAGTTAGTGTTATTGGGATGCAAATGTCTTTCTAGTATTTCTGTAGGGCTGGATCTGGAGACAGATATTGTTCAAATTTCACTTTATCTTGGAAAATGTTGCTTTTCCCATATATGGTGATTTAAAGCTTTGCTGGATGGTAGGTCAAGAAGGGAAGCAGTATATTGAGTGTTGGGAAACTGAACCTATTGAGTTGGAGAGTTACATATGCTGGAGGGCAGTCTATCTGTTCTTATTGCTGATGGTGGCCTTCACCTGTTCTTCTGACTGCTCTGGCCTGTCCATGAGCAGCTTATATCTGCCCATGTTTTGTTGGTGGTTTCTTACACTTCTGTAACTTAACTAAAAACACTCTGGGAATTATTCATCATGGGGTTTATAGGTCTCCCTTTTTTGTGATAACTTCTTGAGTCTCACCATTGTTCTCTGTTATGTTTTACATCTCTGATTTCCATGCTTATGCTCTTACACTTGGATGCCTGTGCACTAATAATAATAAACTCCTCTGTCATTTAGAGGAGTTCACTGTTAGTAAGCAGACCTTTACTATTTAATATAACTGGTGATAGAAGTCAGGTCAATTTGTTGCAACCCTGGATTGACTGACTTTGGTGTCAGTTTCTATACTTGGGCTGGGTTCCTTCCTGTAATTTGAGATCAGCTGCTGCTGCTGGATGTACTTCCTGGTGCTTTAAGAGGCCGGGAAACACTCTGCAATAAAGAATATTCTCTGGCAAGGATCTATGATGGCTGCTGGGTGGCCAGTGTTGCAAGATGTCTACCAGACCTGACTGGTAGTATAGCTTGAAGTCTACATGGTCTTCACTACAAAGACCAGCTATTGTCTCATTCCTCAGGAATATCCACAAGGTGGATACAGATAAATGAACAAGATTCATGTGCTGGCCATTATGAGTCCAAATGCATTCTAAATACAAATAAACAAGTTGCTGTGCTATACTATACTACCAACATTTCCCATAAAATGAGACTTGAAATGATGGAGGAATTATACATTAGCCTCTAGCTTACACTTAGTGTAGAAAAAAGAGCAGTATAAACTCTGTGAATAACAATTTTTACACATGTACATACTTTTGCATTTCATCCCAATAACACTAACTTCTGTAAAATTTTTACAGAAGTACATACATTCAAAGGTACTTTATAAGGGGAAAAGTAGTTCAAAAGACTCTTTCCTCATCAATGTTATAAATCTTCTTAATTCTGTGCTCCTGGGGGCTACCTCTCCATCATCCATGAGTTTTGGAATATTCATGATATATTTATAATCTGAATATTGTTAGATTTCTAGAGTTGGTGAATCAAGAGCTGCCATTTTCTGCATCCTTGGTGGTATCAATTATGATCTATCATCTCAAACTCATTAACCTTTCCTGCTAAACTTCTGGTGTAATTTCTTTTTAAATTATAATGAGGAAATTTACTTCATGATTCCAAACTCAAAATTCTCAGCTAGAATATCATAACATGAAAGATATATCATAGATGATAGATAGATAGATAGATAGATAGATAGATAGATATAGATATAGATATAGATACAGATATATAGATATAGATATGTAGATATATTATGTTGGATAACACTTACAATCTTTGTCTTAGGGTTTCTATTGCTGTGTGAGGAGACACCATGACCATGGAAATTCTAATACATGGAGACATCTGACTGGGGCTGATGTACAGTTTAGAGATTTTGTCCATTTAAATCATGGTAGAAAACCTAGCAGTGTGTAGGCAGTCATGATGATGCTCGAGAAGGAGCAAAGATTTTATCATTTTGATCCACTGGCAACAGACTGAGACTGTGTTTCACACTGTTAATAGCTTGAGCATAAGAGACTACACAGTGTGCCTCCAGAGTGACACACTTCTGCCACCAAGGCCACACCTACTCCAATGAGGACATACCTCCTATTACTGACATTCCCTATGTGCTCTACATTAAAACAGATGAGTCTATGTGGACCATAACTATTCTAAAAACCACAGTCTCTCACACTCATCTCTTCAAAATGACCCTATTGTGTACAACACATACAAACCGACTCATGAAAGAAATCCATGGCAGAGCTGGAGAGATGGCTCAGAGGTTGAGACCACTCGCTACTCTTCCAGAGGTCCTGAGTTCAATTCCCAGCAACCACGTGGTGGCTCACAACCACCATCGAATCTATAATTCGATCTGGTGTCTTCTGAATACATAATAAATAAATTTAAAAAAAAAAGAAATCCATGGCAGACCAAACAGTGAATGCACCAAAGATTAACTCTGTGAAACCATGGATTTACTCTGTTACTGATAGCAGTGTGAATTAGGGGTTACTCACAGAAGCAAGGGTGGCTCAAACCTTACTTAAAGCACACCCCAATATGGGTGATGATCAGGAAGCCAAAACCCTGGAGCTCAGTGCACAACTTGCAGGCAGCCCAACAGGTCTTAGACATTAACACTCAGAGCTCAGCTGGTCCAGTGTCTTACTCTTTCTATAGAGCTGGGAAGGGCCACTGATGAATCTTGAATGTTTCACCTTTGCATGACAGAGAAAGTTTGTTTACTTTCTGAATCTCCTGAACATCTCAGCCTCTCACATGGATGCAAGGAACATCATTAA